CGGTAGTCGAGGAACTCGCCCGTGGGGGTACCAAATGACGCAAAGGTCACGTCACCCATGACGTGGTCCGCTGGGCAGCGCAGACGCAGCAACGAGCCTTCGGACGCGCTGCCGCCAATGACGTTCTCATCAACGCACTGCAAGGCGACGTCTAACTGCTTGTACGTCCCAAAGCACGGATCGCCAAAGACCCTAATCACGCGTCACCTCAGCAAACGAACACTGCATCGTAAAAACATACGCGCTGTCGACGGCGACGTCGCACGCCTTGTTGCCGATACACGCCGACTGGACGACGGCCACGGACGTCGCTGCGTCGCACCAGCCGACCGCGTAGTTGGGGAGGCCCCCCGTCGGCGTGCCGTAGGACGCAAACAGAACTTTGCCAACGACTTCGCCGGTCGGGCACACGAACGAGAGCGAGTCGCCTTCGCTGGCCGAGCCGCCGATGATGCTGCCCAACGCCTGCGCGCGGCCGCGCTGCGCCTTGAGGAGCAGCAACGGCAACGTGAGCGAGAGTTGGCGACCGTACGGGAAGACTTTCATATTTGCGCGAGGCAAATTCGGATATGAGTTCTAGCTTGGACGCTGCAGAAAGGCCGAAACTCCCACATCAATCAACTGCTGCGACGACGAGAATAGCGCCAACCAACTCGGTGGGCTATGAAAAGACGGCACGGGGGGTTTTCGTCTGCCTCAGTTTAGTCTCAAATAGTGGTTTTACCTCGTTCAAATGTATTGCGATCGGCATGCACGTCGCCTTTCTTCAAGTGTTGCCCGTTTCGCCTCCGAAGGCGAGCAAAGGTTTACTGCCTTGGGCGGCAAAGGAGACATCCTTTTCGGTGTCCTCACGACTCCCTCTCGTCGTGTACCCTGTCATCCGAGAGCTTGTTTCGCGTCGTTTTTTCGGCGGCGCGTTTTCTTGTCAAGCGCAGACGCAGATACACTGTACGAGCGCCGAGTGGCGTGATCGGTGCACGTGCTGTCCAGTCGGGTGCGAATCCCGATCCTGCTCTTGGAGCCTCTGCGAACAAGAGCGAGCAACTGAGCGTGCAGCCGACACCCATGTCACTTCTCCACCAGCGGTCGCCATCGCGTTCATACCTGTTCTTCACACCATACCAATGCAGTGGCCAAGAGACGCCGAGCAACATCTGATTTGGTACCTGGATGATCATCTTAGGTGCGCGTAGCGACAGTGCTAGAAAGGGCAAGAGAGCTCAACGCGGTGCAACGCGCTGGACAAGGCGCCATCCGCGTGCAGGTTTCTTGATGACGACGACAAACCACGTTTGTGATAGATAGATTGAAGTTACAGCGAGCATTACGTCAGCACATTTCGGCGATCGTGTGGAGGTCCCTCAAAAACGAGTCGTCGACCACCGAGTGTAAAAAGTCTGCCGTCGCGCTCACGTCCAAGTCAAGCAGAAGCTCCGCCTTGACGCTCACAGTGTCCGAGTCGTCGCCGCTCGACACCGAGATGGGCGACGAACACGACGACGACGGCTTGGCCCCGTGGCTTCGGCACACGCCCCGTCCGCGCGCGTAGTGGGCACACCCGTCCACGGTGCAGAGGCGACCGCCACCGTGGCGCACGCATCGGCGGTGGGCGTGGGCTTGCTTGGGACAGCCTTCGATCGAGCAGAGCCGCTTGCCGCTGGCGCCGCCGTGGGTGACGCAGTACGGTCCGCCGTGAGCCGCTGTCGAGCACATCGGGTGGGCGCACTTGCGCTTCCCGCCGTGCCGGACGCAGAGGTCCCGCGCGTACGCTTGGTTGCTGCAGTTGAGCACGCTGCACCGCTTTCGGCGCTTGTGAAAGGAGCATTTGGTCGAGCCGTACACGGCCTCTTTGGTGCACTCGTTGAAGATGCACGCCACGGTAGCGCCACGCTTGAGGAGCGTTGCGGTGTGAAGGTCCAGCATGCGTTTTGCCGTCGTTCTTGGGCTTGGTCGTTGCGGGCAAATTGAAAAATGATGGCTTGCGTTATCCTCTCTGGCGGTTCAGACTACTAAACGTTGGACCGTGCTGGGTCAAAAGATGTGTCCGAGACGGCCTTCGTCTGCAGCACACACGGTCGATATTCCACCCAGTTGGCAATCACGTGGGTGGCCTGTCTACACACGAGTGTGTGTGTGAAATACGTGGAAAATAAAAAAGTGGGCTGCACGCTGCGACACACGTCGGCGTTGGACGTTTGCATGCCTCCGACATTAAGTGCGCTCGTATCGGAGGTGCTGGTCTCGGGTGTTGATCGCGACTATGGCGTCGAGACGACCCCAAACGAATCGACACCGTGCGTGGACACGGTGTAACACCGTGCAAAGCGTTTTTCACACGTGTGTTTTGACGAGCGTACACCGGTGCATCGAAGATTGAGACGAAGCAGATTGGGATGTCGATACAAGTTGATGGCGTTCTTTTTTTGAGCGCCTGTCGGTGACCAGACGACAACCATTGAAGCACATCGTGCACACGCTGCATGTACACTGCATACAAGATGGAAATCTTATTGCGTCGGGTCCCTACTTAGCCTCCACCACCGACGGCGTCGTGTACCGTCGATCAAGCGCACTCACGTCACGCTGTGATGATGGTTGGGCCTCTTTATCGCATGCAGCGTCAACAGCCACGACCCGTCGTCATGGGCAACGTTGCCGTCCGCTGATGATGGAAAACGCTAGAATTGCATCGTCTGGTCCCGACATGTGGTTCGATTTGCACCGTTCGTCCACCTTTGCGCCCGCCATTACGCCACACTCGACTGGTGTCGAGTTCGTCCTTGTCGTCGTCAGCTGCGCCCGACAAGCAAGCAGCCGGGACGACAGCAGGGCTGAGTCATTGGATTCCAACGTGCCAGGTGGAGCGAGCACACGTCACTTGGTGGTTCTTGAACGATCCAAGCGCCTCGGTCTCGTGATGCTGCACCAACCCATTTGACGGGACTGTAGGAAGGGACAGGCATTTGAAATATGCACTCGGTGTCTCTTCGACGCTACTACCGTGCATGGATAGTAGTTTGAGCATTTACCCAAAAGCAGCCTGATAAAAGGGCCTTTTAGAATGGTCTTCGCCTTCCAGAGCTTGCAAAGCGCGGTCCGTGGACGATGTAAACGGTGCTGCTACGAACCTCTGACCCATCCCCGGCTTCGAACCACGACCTGCACTCATCCAAGTGGTGCCTGTACGAGTGGTCGCAAAGTGGCGACTCGCTGCAACGTGCACTGCTTAGCAAGGTCCTTGGATTCGGCCCATCGTCTGTGTGGACAAACTGTGTGGACGTGTCGATGGGTCGCAGCGACAACATCTGTTGTCGCCACAGCTCCTCTCAAGACCGCAAGCGAACGCCAGCGAATTTGGCACGTACATTGCCATCGGTAGCGTAAGCCTTGTCGGAATGACTGACTGGTGGCTTTTCGCCGAATGCACGTGCGATCCAGTCGACCAGCTTGCAACTACTAGCCACTATGGGCGTGAAATGGTTGGAACACAGCTTCTACCCTGGCGCCACAAATCATCACGCAGGTGCACGGAATATTAAAAGATCATCCTTGCATGATCAGAGCAAAGTAGTACACACCTCTTTTCCTTACCACGAAGATGTGGCATCGCAAGCACTGTGTCAGAGGCCCGTCAGCACCCGTGCTACACACTGTCAGAACGCGTAAGCGGCCTCAGCAGCAGGCGACATCGTGTTCTTCTGCATGGCCACCCAAACGTCGAGGATGCTCGGAAGGATGCAATTAGTCACTACGAGCTACTGGTTGGTACGTACGCTCCGCGTGCATACCTCGAGACCCTCGGCCCAAGGTACGTTTAGTTGCTTAGTCTTAATTTTTACAGCTTCCTCTCATGCTGGGTTGAAACATCCTTCAAATGCTGGAAAACACACTGTATTTTTTCGTGGCGAAAACACTGTTTTGCCACGACGTTCCATGAAGGATCCACTCCGGCTGCGCGAAGAGACCGATGCACGGTCGCGCAAGGTCCAGTGGAACGCGTCGACAAAGCTGACGACAACGGCGCGGCCAGCACCAACGAGTCCGCGTCGCGACCCGCCAGCTGCCTCTGCGCCCGTGCACGACGCCGTGGATGATGACGGCGCCCGGCGTCTCATCGAGCGGGCGTTCGAGAACGTATGGGCTCGCGACGTCGCCGGCCACGCATCGTCGTCGCCAACGAAGCCAAAACTGGACGTCGTGGATGCGCCGCTATCGAGCGTAGTGGACCGCCGCCTGTCGGTCGACGCTGGTCCGCCACAACGAACGACCGAGCTGCTCCAGCTGGAACTCGAGCGCACGCAGCGCAAGATCGCCATCCAAGCCTTTCGCGCTCACGTCGAAGCGCAGATGTGCCGGCTTCAGGGGATGCTGGATGACGTCGCGTCCCGAGAAGCACGCATGGATGCAGCGTTCGATGCGGTCGCTGCATCGCTCAACCGTAGCTGTCGTAACTAAACACCTTATGTATTGACCCTTAACCAGCGAATGCCTCGAAGGCCATTGCCGGCGGCGACGTTGGTCTCGAGGCCGTTGATGATGTACCCGTTCCCGCCGTTGGCCTCGCCCTTGTTGTGCAGTACGATGGTCGGTGCTTTGTTCGGGTCATAGTCGGGCTGGAGCAAGAGCGAAGACGACTCATCTCGGTGGCCATGACTCGTATATGACCGCGGCGGCGCTTGATTGCCCAGCCGGTCGGCGTCGAAGCGGCTACGTTGGCGTGATGCCATGCAACACAAGGCGGGCATCGCGTACCGAAGTTCGCAGAGTGGCACGGCCTCCTCGATCTTGCTGTCTTCGTCATATTGTACGTCGCACGTCTCGTCATCATCGCTCACAGCGACGACGACGCCGGGGAACCAGAGACCGTCAATGTCCCGCTCGACCTTGACCCCGACCTCGAACGTCATGGTCGGGTGCTTCATGCTCGTGCCACGTTGAAACCGCTGTGCCCGGAATTTCAGCCACTCACAGCCCGTCTCCCAGCTTTGTGCACCATCCCATTGGTCATAAAGAAATTATTTTCGACCAATCTTAGTGCGTTTATATCTTATTCCCCAAATAACCACACTTGGCCTTCCACACTGCCATCACCTTGTACAGGAGTGTGCTGTGCCAAGGGAAGACGCACTGTACCTCGTGTATTGAGGACTGGCGCGCAGAAATGGCTTGTCATTATCTGCTCGAAGTTGGGACGTACGAAATAACGTGTTTTCATTGGCTATAAATCGACGAATCCGATTTCTGTCGACACCCGATTGGACGAGATCACGGGAGTTTGCCTTTGCCCCTCTCAGAGCCCGCGGCCGCGCCCATGTTTTCGCTCCTGCTCGGCTTCTGGAACTACCTCTTCTCCAAGGCCGAGGTCCACATCCTCATCATCGGTCTCGACTACGCAGGCAAGACGGTGCGCCCTCGCGCCTCGCTACGCCTCTAACCATGCTCGCAGACACTCCTAGAGCAGCTCAAAGGCCGCTTTGGGAAGAAGCCGGGCATCCCGCTCGACAAGATCCCGCCCACGGTGGGCCTCAACAGTACGTGTGCCACCGCGCGTGCGTGGCCTCAATACGCCTGCGTGCTCTAGTCGCCAAGGTCGACATTTCCCGCACCAATGTCATTTTTTGGGACTTGGGCGGCCAGGTACCTGTCCTTTACGCACTTCGCCAGCAGCCGTTTACAGCGCCCTGCAGGAACGATTACGGGCCATTTGGAGCAAGTACTACAGCGAGAGCCACGGTATTGTCTTCGTCTTGGACGCAGCCGACGAAGCTCGCTTTGACGAAGCCCGGTCCGCACTCGGTACATACTCTGATTTCTTAGCGTTGACATCAACTGAGCGTAGACACGATGCTCGCCAACGCCGAGCTCGACGGCATCCCGATTCTCTTGCTCGCCAATAAGAACGATCTTGCCGACGCCCAGGATATGGGCGTCATCGCGGAGTGTCTCGGCGTCGCCTCGCTTCCATCTCACCACGAGGCGCGCGCCCAATCCATCAGCGCGCTCTCCATGTATCTTCGTGCGCTTCCTACTGTGCTAGCTCAGCACGATGACTGACTAGGGACGGTGTCGAAGACGCAGTCCACTGGCTCATTGGTGCCGTCAAGAACAGCGACCGGTTCGTCGCCAAGCAAGCCAGAACGTAGTGACCATAGGATGGAATATGGCATCCTAACGACGACGCTACACCCAGCGCGCGAGGTCCACTTGGTCGTACACGTTGCCGTTGGCGTTCAGCACAAACTCGAGGTGCAAGCGGTCCTTGGACGCGCGGCCGCGGAGGTAGCCGTACGCGTTGATGTGCGCGACACTCCACGGACCAATTGTTGGTGAGAACCCTTGCGCTTCGAGCTCGGCGCCGGCTGACCCGACGACCATGTGCACCGTGCCAGACGCGACGCACGTGCCATTGAACACGGGGCACGACCGCTCGTACGAGTGCTGGTGCCCCGCCTATGCCCCGCCGTCGTGATGGATACTAGTCAGCGCCCACGTACCAGCACGAGGTTGACCTTGTACTGTCGCAAGAGCGGCTCGATGGCCGCGCGAAAGTGCTTGGAGACGCGGAGGTCCTTCGCTTCGCCGATTTGCGTCGTGTACTAGACAGGGACAGGACGCGGATGTAGAGCGACAGGTACAGATGGAGTCGATCTACCATCATGCGATGGGCGGTCAAGACGACCCATGGCGTCGTACGTCGATCGATGGCGGCCAGCGTCGCGTTCAGCCACTGGTGTTGGACCGAGCCCGGCAGAAAGTTGTGCTCGGATGACATTTGGACCACAGTGATCGGGCCATATGCAAAGCTGTACCAAAAGAGGCCATGGCCATTCGTTGGTGCTAAGTGCGACGAGATATAGCAGCGTTCGTCCACAGGACTTGAGAATCTACCGTGAAACCGATGCACCATGGGCACGCCGCATTCGCCCGATGAGTCGGCGCCGTAGTTGCCCCAGCTCGGGTGGAAGTTCTCGAGGTGCGACGGGTCCTTCTCGCCACCGCCAATATAGTCGAATTCATCTACACATCTCCATAACCCTATTCCACAATGTGCAACCAGATTCCTACGGTTGCCAATGCTCGCCATGTATGGACTAGAAGATCGAGTTGGCAATGTGTCTCACGGTAGTCGTACGTACATGCGCGTGGCGACGGGCTCGACGAGGGCGAAGAACTTGTCCCACTGCAGCCCGTTGCCGCGTGCGTAGCTATCGCCATGGCAAGGGTGGAGCCAATAAGATGCGACTCAGATCTACCTAATGTCACCGAAATGCAGCAAAAAACCATTGTAGTCGCGAGCGACAACGTCTTCAAAGACGCGGAGCGCCGTGGACCAGCCGCGAGGTGCGTCGTCGACGCCCATGTCCCCGTACCCAAGGAACGAGACGTCCGCGTCGGCGCCCGGTGGCACGCGCGAGATGAACGACGCAACGCTGCTCCAGCCGTCGACGTCGTTGCCAAACTGGTAAAAGTACTCGGTGCCCGGCGCGAGGCCGTCCATGACGACCGTATGAAAGTAACCCGGCGATCGAAACAGCGTCTGACCGACCGTGGTGGCCGGAGCGTGGCACCTACCGCCGTCTTCTACTCCGTGTACTTCGCACAAAGGGACGTACATGTCGGAGGCGTCGTACGTCGTCGAAGTGCCGTTGTGAAGCGTCGCGCCGACAAGCGTCCGCGATGGCCCGTACTTGACCATGGGCGTGCTCGCATCCGACGCCGAGTTGTACACAAGGACCATCTCGTCAATGGCGTCGTTGAAGCCCAAGTGGCCTTGCTTGGGCGCGTGAATCGAGTCGCAGAGCGGAATCGTAATGTTGCCGGCGCGGGCAAACCCGCCATCGGCGCGGGCCTGATAGTAGTGCGCTTCGTAGTTGCATCGGAGCATGTACAAGTCTTCAAAGCGCACAGAGCGCGCCGAGACGTTGCGCAGCGCAATGTAGTCGTTCGCGCCCGTCGTTGGCCCGCACGTCAGCGTCACATAGTCGCGCGGGTCGGCTACGGCATGGGCCCATGAGATGACGACGTCGCCGCCCGTCGTTACAATCGGCGGCGTGGCCTCCAGGCGCACGGCGCCAAGCGGGCCGTCAACGGCCGACCATGGCGACTCGCGCGCAAGGACCATGGGCAGCGCCAGCAGCATCGTGAGCTTGCCCATCTCGTAGGTCCAGGGTCGAAGGTCGACGAACGAGAAGAAGATCTCGCAGCTGCGGAGCCTTTCCGTATCCGGACGTGTCGCACCGTCCGGATACGATCGGTATTTATCCGGATTGCGCAGTGGACAAGTGGATCGTGGCAGCAATGGCAGCGATGGCAGACGCCGGCGTCGTCTTTGGCCCGATCACGACCACCAACGTCGGCGTGCTCCGCGTGCTCAACCGCGAGATCTTCCCCGTGCATTACACCGACAGCTTTTACACGGACATTGTCGAGACGCCGCCCGGGCTCTCCAAGTACGGTAGGCTTGCAGCAGCGACCTTGCGACTTGCGACGACTTAGCCGTGTACGTAGCGTTCGTGGATGGCCTCGCTGTCGGCGCCATCTGCTGCCGCGTCGAGACAACGCTGCAGAAGCGAGAGCGCGTCTACATCATGACGCTCGGCGTCCTCGCTGCATACCGCCGGCAGCACGTCGGTGCGCCGCTGATGTTGCCATCGCGCGTCGATAGCTCACGTCTTGTAGGCGCCGCACTCCTGCAAAGCGTCTTGGCGTACTGCAAGGAAGCCGGCATGGACCACATCTACCTCCACGTCCAGACGAGCAATGCCGGTGCGATTCGCTTCTACCTCGGCCATGGCTTTCAGATCACGCAGACGATCCATAATTATTACAAGCACATTGTGCCACCCGACTGCTACATCCTCGCCAAGGCCTTTGGACGAGCGTCCTTCTAGCACGCTTTAACAGTCGTAAGGAGACTCGTATTGTCGTATCGCATTGGCGTCTACGCGGTTTTCTGCCGCTTCATGCTCTGGCGCTTCTCCTCCGAGTAGGCGGCGGCCGCCGGCAGCTGGAACGAGATGCACATCATGAGCTTCTTGGGGGCCACGTCGCGCACTTGGTAGATGGTGGTCGTCGCCATATCGAGCTTGGCGCCAAGGATCGTCTCGGCGCGCTACAGCAACCGCCATTACATCTCCCAACCAGCCGAGAACGACCAAACCTCTTTGACATCCTTCTCCGGCGCGTCGACTTCAGACGAGAAGCAGTACGTGTGGATGTACGGCAAGTCGCCCTCCCAGTGATCAAAGCGGCCTGGGAACGCGTCGAGGAACTCGAGCGCGATCGCCGGGAGGTTCATGAGCACCTGCGTAAACTGAATGCGCTTTTCGAGGAGCTCGTGGAGGAATGCGCGGCCGTCCATGTTGTGTGGGTGCAACGTGGCCTCGACTTTGTTCTTCTTCCGGTTGATCTCGAGGTACTCGAAGCTCTTCGGGTTGAGGTCGTTGGCGTAGACGGTGCAGCCCTTCTTCGCAAGCGGCACCGCGAACGGCCCAATGCCACACATCATGTCGCAAATGACGTCCTTCTTTGGGTCGAACTGGCGGATCATGCGCAAGTGTTCTTGTTGGAGGCGGGAGTTCCAGTACACCTACGCCATCGCATTTAGGTTGGTCGAATGGAGTGTGATACGATGCTCTACCTGGGCAAAGTTGAAAGTAAAGTTGCAGCCGCTTTCATGGAGCTCGACGACCATGTTGTCGTCGCCGGCGAGGACTTCCATGGGAAAGGTGCGGAAGACCGTGTCGATCGTGTCCGTCTTGTTGACGACCGTCTTGATCCGCGGGCTGTTCTTGTCGAGAATGACTTGGCCAATGATGTGCTTGTACGGGAGGTGGAACTCGCGCAGGTTGATGTGCGCAATGTGGCCGATCGTCTCGAACGACGCCGGCACCTCCGTGATGGACTCGGGGAGCAACTTGCGCAGCACATGATCGACGCCCCAGAACGAGTAGTCGAGCGTGATCTCGTGCGTGTGCACCGAGAGATTTTCCTTCTTGATGAACTCTTGGAGGTCGAGAGGCGAGCTCTCGAGGCCCTTGATGCTCTCGGCCAGCAAGACGAGCTTGTGCGCTTCGGCCGGGATCGGCACGACGTTGCGCAGCTTGGGCCGGTTGAGCAAATGCTTGGAGAAGAGCTTCACGATCTGACCGATCTGCTTGCCTTCGGCACGGACGCCAAGCACCTTGAGCGTCTCGAGGAAGAGCGACTTGTCGACGACCTTGGACGCGCTCATGTTGCAGCAACGAATATGACGGTTTGCTGGTGGCCAGCGTCGCGAACGCACCAATGGCCTTGTCGTCTGCCATCTTGCCGCGATCGGATTGGCTATTGAGTAATAACCAGTTGATTGCCGACCATATTAAGCTCGCCACGCCGTCACGTCACACCTACGAGCTGTGCTACCGTACGAGACGATACCACTTCATCCAGCATTCGCCTACGCGATGCAGTGACCTTGTCAGCGCAGCTCACATCGCCATTGAGTCGCTGCTTCTGCGTCCTTCCTTCGGCAATTAACTGCTCCATTGATCCGGTTGCGGGCCAATCGAGCATCAAGCAATAAAAATAACCATGATGGATTGGCTAAAATGCGATAAATCCGCGCCAATTGCAGCATATGCGCCAATGAGAGCAGGCGTAGGAAAATACGCGCTTCTGAGTGGCTAAAAAGCCGTCTGAAAATTCAAAACCAGTCATTTCGATGGCAATCCGCAATTCGCTCATGTTGGCTCGTTTCGTGTCCCGTGGCCTGAGCCGCCGCTTCGAGGCCGCGTCGACGGTCCCTCTCCGCGCCTTCTCCCGCGCCGTCGGCGACGACGACGACGACGATGAGGGCCGCCGCAAGAAGAAGGCCGACGACGACCTTGGCTTGAACCTCGAGGAGATCGAAGCGCCCAAGAAGAAGTCGGATGGCCTCGAGGACTTTGACGAGGACGAGCCGCTCGAACCGCCGCCGCTCTATGGCCGCTGGAAGGAGACGACCAAGCCGTTCCGCCAGCTCGCGCCGGCGGCCGCGCGCAAACACAGATACCAGGCGATCGCGCCCAAGAACATGGCGCTCGCCCGTCGCCGCCTCTTGGACGAGTTTGGCGCGCGCTCCATGTCGTTTGACGACCCGCAGTTTGTCTACGACGATTGTACGCGCAACCATCCTACCTACTTTGCTCTCATCATGCGCATCTATAGCGCTCCGCCCCGATATGGGTCTCCTCTACGAGAAGGACGAGCTCGACATGCTCGCCAACGACACGGAAGAGCTCAACTTTGACGAAGACGAGGTGCTCGACCTCGAGTCCAAGGGCTTGGTGCGCCAGATTATTTACGTCGACACGGTCCAAAAGGTACGTCATAGCCTCGTCGATGCTACGATCTTATGCGTATCGCGGTAGCCGGTTACGCAAGGCAACATTTTGACGTTCCGTGCGCTCGTCTGCGTCGGCAACCAGGAAGGCGCGGCTGGGTACGCTGTCGGCCGCGGTGGCAAGATCCACGAGGCCATTGAGCGCGCGACGCTCCGCGCGATGGACACGATGGTCTTCATCGACCGCTTCGACGACCGCACGCTTTTCCACGAAGTCCGCGGCAAGTTCAACAGCTGCTCGCTCTTCATCCGCCCGTCCAAGTTTGGTATGGGGTCGACGGTGAGCGACACGGTCGGCTGCGCGCTCTACTGCTTTGGCATCACGGACGTGGTCTCCAAGTGCTACGGCCAACGCAACCCGTACACGGTCATCAAGGCGACGTTCGACGCGCTCGCCAAGCACGAGACGGCCGAGGAGGTGGCCATGAAGACGGGCCACTCGGTCTACGAGATCACCAACCTCGCCAAGCACGGCAAGATGTAAACATCGTCGCCCTAGATACTAGACTACCGAAGCAGAATAAACCACTTGTTGTAACAACAATCTGTCGACAAGCCCACCAGAATCAACAGCACAGCAGCGACAACGGTCGGGCATCGCGATAGCTCGGCGGCGTAGCTCGAGCTGCAGCGTCCCTAGTATCTTGCAGTATACTTTATTCGATCCAACTCGAGCGCGGTTTCACGGAGCACGAAAGGTCGTCGGCGATCCAGCCCAAAACTTGGCAAGAAGACTCATAAGACTCAGCACTAAGATGGCCGACGACGACGCGAGCAGCGTGCACGATGGCGAGCCGCAGGACACCGTCGGTGAATCGCCGACCGACAACAACATCAAGATCTTCCTTCGCATCAAGCCCTCCAAGAAGGTACATGCTGCGAATGCGTCGTGCGTGACGTCGTGGCGTAGGCTTCGGGCTTCTTCACGTGGGAAGAAGAGTCGAACGGGATGGAGTACAACATTCCCAAGGACGTCGCGTCCGGCCTCATCAACAACTCGCGCACCAAGTCAAATGCCATTGTGTATTGAGGCTGAGGTTGACGCCGATCGTGTAGCTACAAGTTCAAGTTTGATGGGCTCATTGGCATGACGGCCAAGCAAGAAGAGGTGTTTGACCGCATCGGCCGGCCATGCGTCGAAAAGTACGTGCTGTATAGTCTGCTGTTCCGAAGACAATATTGTCATCAGTGCGCTCTCGGGCTTCAACTCGACGATCTTTGCGTACGGCCAGACCGGGTCGGGCAAGACGTTTACGATCACGGGCGGCGCCGAGCGCTACGACGACCGCGGTATCATTCCGCGCAGCCTCTCGCTCATTTTTGAGAAAATGAAAAAGGTACAATGCACACATTGTGCACAATATAACAAACGGACAGCACCCGGAATGCCAAATTTCGGCTTTCATCTCGTACCTCGAAATTTACAACAACCAAGGCTACGATTTACTCAACGAAGACCACCAAAACACAAAGGCCATTGAAGATTTGCCGTACGATATCGACAATTTGTCATCTGGATGCATCACACTTTTGTGCATAGAAAGGTGAGCATGCTCGAAGACGAAGACGGCAACTGCCACCTTCGCAACCTCTCGATGCACCGCGTCGCGACCGAAGAAGACGCGCTCAACTTGCTCTTCCTCGTACAATGCACAGCATTGTCTACAAATATATATATATAACTATGGCTAGGGCGACACGAACCGCGCCGTGAGCGAGACGTCCATGAACTTGGAGTCGTCGCGGTCGCACTGCATCTTTACCGTCTCGCTCGAGTCGCGCAAGGCGGGCAGCGAGGTCATTCTGCGCTCCAAGCTGCACATGGTCGATCTCGCCGGCTCCGAGCGCGCGCACAAGACGGGCGCCAAAGGCAAGGTGCTGCGCGAAGCCGCGTACATCAACACGTCGCTCCACTACCTCGAGATGGTCATTGTCGCGCTGCACGAGAAGAACACAAAGGGCCGGACGCACATTCCATACCGCAACTCGATGATGACGTCGGTGCTGCGCGACAGGTCGACCCACTCATTTCTTATTGTGTGTTTGTATATCAAGGGTGTAGCTTGGGCGGCAACTGCAAGACCGTCATGGTTGCGACGGCGAGTGCTGAGAAGGAGCAGACCGACGTACACCAAAGATGACGACTATCCACAATGAAATATTGAGAGTTTGTGTAGGAATCGCTCTCCACCTGCCGGTTCGCCCAGCGCGTCGCGCGCGTTCGTAACGACGCGCACTTGAACGAAGAAGTGGACCCGACGATCGTGATTCGCCGCCTTAAAGCACAGATTGTCGAGCTCCAAGAGGAGATTGTACTCCTCAAGGGCGAACCCGTACGCTTCTTTCCTACTGCAAACCTGTACGACTGTCACTCCTTGGCCATGATTAGAAAGAAGGCGACGAGCTCAAGGACTACGAGATGGACAAACTGCGACAAAAGGTCCTTTGTATCAATGTATCGGGACACAATAGGCTCAATGTTGGCGTGTAGTGTTTGGACTACGCCAACAATCGGGATTCCGATGCGCACTTGGCGATGGGCGACATTACGTACATCAAGATGAAGGCGTGCTTTGCCTTCTTAAAGCGCTTCTACCTGGACGGCGCGGGCGACGGCGCACCGCGCGTGGCTAGCCAGCATGCCAGCAACCACAGCAGCAGTAGCAACAACGACCACCTGCACGAAGAACGGGGCGACGGACCGTCCCATGCGCGCATCGTCGAGCTCGAAGAAACGCTACAGCAGCGGGATAACGAGATTGCCATTCTGGTTGGGATGCTCAAAAAGGTACGTGCTCTATAACCTTTATCCCAAAGCCGGAATTATAACCGACAACTAGGGCGGTAATGGCGCGCAGGTGGCCGACGCTCTCAAGACCATCGCGTCCAAGCCGCCTGTGGCCCCCCAAGCGCCCCCGCCGCCCCCCAATGGCTTCCACGTCAAGATCGACGCCGCGTCGCTCGACGATCCTGCGAAAGCATTCGAGGTGTTCCGTGAGCAATACCCGAAAAACGACGTCCGTATCCTATTTTGCACTTTGGTTTCACCATATTGTCTGTTGGAATCGTAGGTGATTCGCGAAAACAAGCAATTGCTCAAGAAAAAATACGACGAGGCCAAAGCACTCGCCCAAACTGTCAATGACGCGCGGGGCGTCATCAAGGAGCACATGGCGACCGTCGAGAAGCTCCGCAAGACCAAGGCGCTCGAGTCGCTCACGAGTGGCGACGAACCACCGACCGCGTCCGACGAAGAGACAGCGCTGGTCGCCAAGATTGACGCGAAAAAGGCCGAGTACAAGACGGGCTTCAACACCCTCAACGACCTCAAGAAGGAGATCCAGCACATTCAAAAGCTGCTGGAAATGAGTCGCATCAAGCTCCAGAAGGACTTTGATCTGTGGTACCAGAGCCAGGGCAAAGGGCACCTGCTCACAGAGAATCTCGTGCACAAGGCGTCGACGACGGGACTCGTACGGTTACGATGATCCATATCGCTTGGTGCTCATGCTGGCCAAGTAGAAGCCGGCGGTCGACCAGTCACCTGCTGTACGCTCCGTGATCTGTTCACATACTGTAGTTGGGTCTCCGTGTAGAAGCCCGCACCCAAGGCGGCGTGGCCACCGTCGCCGCGCACGCCTAGCAGCAACCAGCCCAAGGACGCCGTTCCGACCACCGGCATCCAGTACATTTGCGGCTACATCAACGATTAACTCTTCGCACCATGTACTAACTATCCTAGGGAGGTCGACAAGGACGTCTCGGGCTTTTACGAAGCGCTCGACATTCTCAAGCGTCGCAACAGCCGCAAGTAGACGCTTGCCTCCTCAAGCTGTTTGTATTGTGTACTCTTTTAGTACAACATCTAGTCGTTATCTTCGTCGTTGCCCGAAGCTCGCGGCGGCTTGGGGGTCTTGGGCCCTTTCTTCATAATCTCTTCCACCTTGGCGAGCTCGCGCTCAAACTTGGCCTCCTTTTGCTGCACCTTGGCCTTCCACTTGGTCTCGACGTCGGGTTCATTGCCCTTTTGGTCCTTCTTCTTCTTCTTGTCGCTCTCGTCGTCGTCTTCTTCGACTTCTTCGTAGTCGGGGAAGCACTCGCCGTAGTCGTCCTCGCCGTCGAGCTTCTTCTGCAATCGCGCGTGCTTCTCGACGAGCTCGTCGCGCTCGGCTGCGCGCTGATGCGCCTTCTTGGCCCGTGCAATCGACTCGGCGAGCGCTGCCGCCGCCGCTTTTTCCTTGGCGGCTTCCATTGCAGCCTTGGCCGTCAGCGTGGCGCTGAGATCCTTGAAGATCTCGCCCTTGGCCACAGCATGAGTTCCAACTCCATCTTCGGGACGCATGCCCGGCGGAATGTACTCGCCGACGTCGCCAAAAATGTCTTCGTCGTCGTCCTCGACGACTGGGGCTAGGGTGTGGACGGTCGGCGGTGGCGACGTTGGCACGACCTGCTTGGGCCGATGGCGCTTGCCCTCGGCGGCCAAGAGACAGTCTTCAACCTCGAGTATGAGTGCGGAAGGGAGGTAGCCGGTGAGTGGGGCGTGCTTGGACCGGCGCGGGCAGTCGTCCTTGCTCCGCTGCACGAGCTGGGGCAGCGCGTCCACATCTGGTGCAAGCAGATTGAATGCATACGAGAGGCGGCCGGGAAGGAAGAGCTCGGACGCGCGCGACGCTGTCGACGATGGCTGGAGGAGATACTTGATGGACTGCGCCATGCGGGACGCGGCCTTGGTCGGGACGGGCGGAGGCAATGCTGATGTCGTCGGTTTGGTCAGCGCCTGCACCTGCTGCTGGAGCTTGGCCTTCTCCTGCTTGAGCTTTGAGAGAAGCGAGAGGTCCAAGTTGGCTGGAAGCGCCGGCTTGGCCACGAGCTTGGCGATTTCGGGGTCCACGAGGTTGGCCGGCGCCGGCGTCACGTCTACATGTGCATGAGGCGATGGCGCAAGAGCATCGCCGTCGTACCAAAGGTCTCTGCATCACCGCCAGATCGACGCTCGGCGGCGCGGTCGCGGTACTTGCCCTGGTACGTCGGGTCGAGCTTGGGCTGCTTGGGCTTGTCGGCCGCCGGCTCGGCCTTGAGCTTCTTGTACTTGGCTTTGCGCTCGTCGTCCGTCAGGCTGCGCTTGACCTGCCGTGGCAGCCCCGAGAGGACGCGGGGCGCGTTCCCATGCACCGGCAGCGGCGTGTCCATGATGCGCCGGAAGTCGTCCTGCGAGAGCCCCGACATGCTGCGGCGATCGATTCGAAAACTCGCCTAGTGGCACCGGCCAGCGGCTATCTTCCGTTTAGCGGTTCCTTTTAGCGACATACAATCGGGATGGTATTTGATTGTCTTTAATGAAATGTAGTATACGGTATACGGTGTGGCGCCATCTTGGCACTGCGGGCGAGTGACTGACCAGATATCGAGTTTGGGGCAAAGCTGAGCAAAAGCTAAATTGCGGCTGGACACAAGAGCGATCACAAAGTCGTTCTAGTAGTGGTAGTAGTAGTAGCAGTAGCAGTAGCAGCGGTTCGCAAGTGGCGACGCTGGATGTATCAATGTGTCCAGGCACCTTGGTAACCGCATGCGTTTCACGGTGCTGCCACGTCGCCATGTGCCATACCACACGATATGCCGTCATTGCAACTAGACCACGAGCGCCAACACAGCTGCACTCCTAGCAGCGACCTGCGTCTGGACGGCGCAGTCGATCAAGGTTGCGCGGTGTAAAGACGGTCGAGGAGTGACATCAGCCAACGAGAAATGTGCGCTATGTCCCTCTCCTAAAGTTGACGGCCAACGAGTCCGTTTCCTTCTTCCATCAAGCGTGTTCCTCCTTTGCACTGGCCAATCGAAAATCCCTTGGTGGTGGCCAACGCCATGTCGCTTCATGTTTCCCCGAGTCCTTCGCCCGTACTACCTCCACTTGCTGTCAGCGACTACCTCGTGTTGCGAAATGGCCGTTGTACAAACCGAAAATATACACTATCAAAACTACCCGAAAGGCTATTCTTGCGCCAAGTATTATTAGTACGTGCGCCGTGATGCCAGTCGTCCTGTCTGCCAATCGGTGCGCGTCGGCCTAACTTGGGAAGTGCTTCAGTGCTACGGTGCTCACTTTGCCACTCGACACGCAGCAGCAACATGCAACTCCTTCTCGCCACCGCGGTCGCCATCATCACGGTCCACCAAGTGCACTCGAGCACCCCGACGACGAACGGCGGCACGTGCACCCAGGACGACGTGACGATCAATAGTGCGGTGTACGATGAGACCGTGTGGGCCAACTGCACGAATGCGGGTGCGACGTTGCAGACGACCAAGCTAGACGGCGCCGAGAGCATCCAGAAGCTGTGTGCGTCGGCCACGTGCAAGTCGTTTGTGTCGTTGATGGAGACGAAGGTGCCCAACTGCGTGTTGGCCGGCGACACGCCAGCGAACTCGATCAACTTGAAGACGGCATTCTTAATGTCGTATGGCTGCACACCCGCCGCCGCGGGGGCGCCGTGCACGCTCATTGACACGGTGACCATGATGATGGCTGGCAGCACGCCAGTGTGGGCCAACTGCTCGACGTTCCTCAAACTGGACGCTGATGCAACGATCGAGAAGGTCATGCCGGACAAGACGGCCAACGCCACGTCCCTTCCGACGGGATTCTGTACCTCAACGTGTCCGCTGTTCATCTTGTCGGTGATGAAGGCGCTCCCGTCGTGCACCATCGGTGGTATGAACATCTCGGATCCGACGACGATGTACACCCTTTGCCCCAACGTCAAGCCCTCGGCCGCCTCGACGAAAAGTGTTTTTCTGTGGAGCTACGTGGTGCTGCTTCTCACGGCCTTCGCCACCCACCTCTAATTTGATGGCGTCAACTAGTACGATACGATGCATAATACACTCGCACACTTTGCATATACGTTGCACAGTTTTAGCAAGGCCATAACTTTTACGTAAATTTTATGGCCTTGGCTCTAGCATGGCGGAAGACTAGTGTGGCCTCGCCTTTTTGTCACCAATGAGCGCAATAATGTCATCGAGGCGGTGAGATATCGTGGTGCGGCGCACAAGCCGGAAGCGTCTATACAGGCAGCGCTGCGGTCGACCACAACAGTCCAGGGGCAACTTCGGTTTCAGCCCTAACCCCAGCCCTAACCCTTCGACGCCTGTCAAAACGACATTTAATGTTCCAGCGAGGACCCTTGACTGTGCGGGAAGCGGACACCTTGTACTGAATTCAACAGAATTGAAGAAGAGACTACTGGTTGGTTCCTTGACAAATTTGTTGTCGCACGCCAAAGCTCCGTAAACGTAGCCTTTTTCGATTTCAGCGTCCGTATGTATATATGTATACCATGGTGTGTCAGCTCTTATGGACCAAAATGAAAGAATACGGGGTGTCGTCGAATACATGGGCTTCTTCGGTATGTTATGCTATCGTGACGAGCATCCGCACGCTTTCATGGGCCGATCGGCGACGTGAGCGTAAACAGTCCATGCTGCACAAGGAGCTCGATGGAATGGTGTAGCGTCTTTGTCAACGCCGGGTGCTCGGACACCATGGCGTGCAACGCCGCTACGGCAAGTGTCGTGCCAACCGGCATCTCCAAGAGGCGGTTCATCACGGCTGTCAACGGCAGTGGCACTGCGACCACGGTCACCCGCTCGGCTTTGAAGCCGTCGGAAAATCGAGCCGCACCGCCCGTGGCGAGCGTGTACTTTCCCTCGGACGCTGGTACATGCGGCGTCGCAATCAACGCGCCAACCGACGACCGGACAAGGACGCTGCTTGCTTGAATCGGAAGCTCGAGGTCCGTCGACGACGCGAGCTTGGCCACGGACACGACGTCACTGGCCGGCGGGGCAAAAAGCGCATCGGGCAGGAGCGTGTCGACGTTGTCTTCCATTTCGGCGATCGTGGCCTTTAGAGACGAAAGCAGTTGCTTGAGCTGGGCGCGGGCGTTCTCCGGGCCACGGCGGAGGTCGGGCCGCGCCCGGAACGACGGCTGCGCCATGAGCGTCGGTTGCAGCCGGTTCCAAAGCACGTCGAGCCAGCGACTGCCGTCGATCGAAAAGTTCATCGAGAGCGACCCTTCGTCCATCGCCTCGACCTTGTGCCAGTAGCCTGCAGGCACGTAGAGCACTGAGCCGGGGCGGAGAACGACTGATGCAATGGCCGGGTCGTCGTCGGCCGGCGGCGTCAGCATCGCAGGCGTCGCACCGCTCATGCAGTGCGTAATCAAGTCGTCTTGGACCGACGGCGTGTTGGTCGACGCCAAGTGGAGGTTGGTCATTGGGTCATGCACCGGGCCCTTGACAAACGACCAGCGTTTCGTACCGGTGAGTTGGATCTAGTATCAGTGTATCACTATCCGCAATATTTTCAAAACAAAAGAAATTACTGTAATGTTTTGCTGCGCATCGAGGTGCCACGGCGTCGAGTGGCGACCTTGTACCGCAAAGAGCTCAATGTCGCCGCCCATACCGCCGTCGAGCGCACTCGTAAAGTCCATGCCAAGGTCGGCGCAGAGCGCGGTTAGGTACTTTTCCTAGTCGTTTTGCGTTACTAAACCAATTAGGGAGCGACAAATGTCGTACCTGGACCTCGGGCGACGGGTTAAAGTAGAGTGAATGACCCGCTTTGTAGATCGCGCGGGCCATTTCCGGCGACTGCACTTCGAGGTACTGCATGCGCGTCTTGGCGGGCGCCTGCGCCAGCCACGCGACCGTGCGCGACGCAGTCAAAATGAGCGTGTCGACGTCGAGCTGGTGGAGGTCTTCGAGGAGCGACTGGAGGCGGTGCGACGAGCCGTGCACGACCATGCAGCGCTGGTTGTACACGTGCTGGATGAACGTCGACGACGGCAGTGGCCAAGAAAGCGACTGCAAATTGGGCTCGACCGTCAACGGCGCCGACGAAAAGTGCAGCGGCCACGTGCAACCAGAAAACGTAGGGTCAAAGACGTAGTCAAACTGCCAGAGCGGCGCGTCGAGGCTGAACGGCGGGGCGTCTGGCGCCGAGTAGGCCGATGTCGGCAGCGCAACGTACTGCGGGTGCACCGTGCCGGCGACGCTCGCATCGGTCGACGACGTTACGTGCAGCTGCGTCCACGAGCTCTGGGCCCAGTCGATGACGACGAGGTCGCCGGGCGCGAGGTCGGCGCCGTTGACGTTGCACGCCACGCGGATCGAAGCGGACGTCGGGTGTGCAGCGACGGCCGGCGGCGCCTCGGCAGCGGTGTCGTCGGGCGATGCTTGGAAGCCAAAGGAGAAGCGCGCGCCAGAGAACATGGCGCCATCGGCCTCGCGCTTGCGCTTGCTGGTCATGCTGGCAGAGTGGGCGCAAAGAAGCTCCTCGTCCGTGATTGGTTGCAACGTGCGCCGGTCGCGTGACCGCATAGTGTTGCGTTTTTATAGTTTTACCTGCTTTGACCATCTCTAAAACGTATTTTACGCGTCACTTGAACAAGATGCCAACATCTCACGGCGGTCCGAGGTGAAGTGCCAACTAGCGTCACTGCTCCAACACGTAAATGCTTTACTATGTTTGTAATCATCATTAGCGTATATACTTGTATGTCCACTTGCCACACCCAATGCACGGGTGTGGACGTGGGCAAAATACACTGTGGCGTTGGTGACCGCTGAAGCTTCGGTTGCATGGGCTTGTGGCGACTGCGATATCTGCTTCGTCGAGGGTGTCATGCCTGAAATAAAATTGAAGTGGTTGCTACAGTTAGGGCGCTACTGAAAGGTCTGGACAGTGTTGGCTTGATGAAGCAAGCCAACGCGATGTCGTAGTTCTGAACCTGCGATCGCAACATCTCGCCCCGACAAGTGAGTTGCAACTTTGGACTATGCTAGAACAAGATCGGACGTAGTGACTTTGAAAGTGCTCGAGCGGTGTCGTGATACCCCGTCCGTGGAGGTGCTGAACGAAGTAAGATGGACTGACAACGGTGTGCCGTGCGCCAAATGCAGCCACCTCGACAAACAAACAACTTCGTCTTCTGCAGTCGTAAGACGTTGCACATCACCGTGCACCACGAGGAAGCTTCTTGTTTCAGAAGATAGCAGCAGCAGGACGCGACCTCCCACTGCCCCGTCGCAAGCAAACCGTGAGAAGAAGAGAAGTAGAGGTAATAGTCTAGCCACTCAATGGCAAGAGCAGAGTCAAACCACGCGTATGAAAATGAGTCTACCTACTGCATTGAGTCATGTATTGTAGTACGATTATAGCAACTACTTTGGTCCTCGTCGTACACTCGACTTGGTGGCCTCCGTGATAAGTTGTGGAATAAGAATGTGTGTTCTGATCAGAGCGCAACGTAGCACTGTAGGCAGTTCAAACCCTGTATTTCGAAAAAATATGTTGGCACCTCGCGATATGGGAAACGCGAGATTTCATCGTGTGAGGAAAATGTGCTTCGAGTCGTGGGTGCGAGCTGACCGTCTATGGCAGCTTGCGCTGTTTCGACATTGACCTTCTACCGTGCCATTCCTAACTAAATATGATGCTACATTGTACAGTCGGTAGCATCATCAATGCCCCTTGATCGCAGTCTCCTGAACGCAAAAAACCCTTCTCGCATAGTAACAAGACACCCTGGCCACAAAGTGCGGCAGGTACAACATCTGGTGCACCGACGAGTATCTTGAAACGATTTTTGCCACAGACACGCCATCACAGTGTACGCTCGCTGCTATCATACTAAAACCAAGTTATCCTCATGACGACGACGACATACAAGGTCAACGCGCCGATTGCCCAAACGCGCGAACCAATCAGATGATGCGGATCCTGCACGTGGCGCTCGATGCATTGCGTGGGACACCAACATATGTTGCGTCGTGGCACGGTAAGAACCAGGATCTTGGCTCGAAGCCTGCCTCGCGCCTCTCTGCACTTGCTGCTCCGAGCTTCATCTTTCAATTTACCATGGCGTCGACCAGAGACGTGGGCCACTTTGACCTGGAGGAGCGTGCCTCGTACATCCATTCGGCCACCACGAAGGGCGGCGCCGACTTTAACGAGCTCAAGTCGCCCGGTGAGCTCGAAGACGGCGGCGCGCTTGTGTCTGGCGGGGCCATCTCGCTCGTGTCGCGCGAGGCCTTTGCACTCTTCTCGCAGTACTTTGCCATTGGCATTCTCTACGGCATGCTGCCCGCGATGCAGTACCCGGTGTTCAACAACTATCTGCACATGGAAGGCTACCAAACTTCGGCGTACAGCGTGCTTGTTACGCTCGGCTGGTCGTTCAAGGTCTTCTTTGGCATGCTCTCGGATTGCTTTCCCATCTTTGGCTACCGTCGCAAGAGCTGGATGCTCATCGGGTGGACCGTCGCGACGATCTGCCTCTGCGTCATGACGTTCACGCCGTTCGGCGCGCCGTACTGCGACGCCCGCGAGATCAAGTGCCCGTCCGTGACGCCGTCCATCGCCAACCTCACTCGCGACAACAAGCTGCAATACTACAACTTTGACGCGCCCAACGGCGGTACCAAGTTTATCGTGCTCACGGTCCTCGTCGGCTTTGGCTACGTCATGGCCGACTGCGCAGCAGACGCGATGGTCGTCGAGTACGCCCAGCGCGAGCCAATTGCGATCCGCGGTCGCACCCAGACAGCGATTTACACGATCCGGTACGTTGGTACGATGCTCGCGCAGCTCTGCGTTGCTTTCCTCCTCAACGGCAAGGTCTACGGCGGCTCGTTCGACTACGCGGTGACGCCGAATGTCATGTATGCCATTTGTCTCGTGCCGTGCGCACTCATCATGGTCAACACCATCTTCGTGCTCGCCGAGGAAAAGTCGTCGGGCATTTCGTTCACCGCTTGGGTCGAAAGTTTCTGGGGCCTCCTTCAGAAGCGTGTCATGTGGCAGGTCGTCGCCTTCAAGTTCATCAACCAAGTGTTTGCGTCCTTCTCTGCGACGCCGAGCTCGCCGATCTCCAAGTCGTGGGCCGGCGTCGAGCCGCTCAACGACTCGCTCTCGGGCGTCTTTGGCTCGCTCATCACGTCCGTCATCATGGTTGCGATCGGCAAGTGGGGCCTCAACTGGAACTGGCGCTGGCTCATCGCGCTCGGATCGATCGGTATTGTCGTCATCGACGCCTTTGTCGTCTTCTTCACTATCTGGGACGTCATTCGCAACCAGTGGTTCTTCAATGGCGTCGCGCTCGCCGAGAACGTGCCGTCGAGCGTCCGCTTCATCGTGGCCACGTACTGCGCTGTCGAGATTGCTGACGTTGGTAATGAGGGCGCGACCTACGGCCTTGTGAGCACGGTCGGCAACCTCGCGTCTCCGTTCGCCTCTGTCTTTTACAAGTACGTCGACTC